GTAGAGGAGTTGCAAATGTTGTTCAAACAGAAGATGGCAATAAGATTCAGGCATCAAAGGGGAGCTCTAATCCAGATATTACATCTCTAGCACAAGAAGTGGCAAAATTGCTTGGAAAAGGTTCTTTTAACATGACAAGTAACAGTCTCTATAAGGAGGAGGAACAGTATGTGAATTTTGCAGGAAATAAGGAAAATGAGGACAGACATTATGCACTGTCCATGTTTGATGACATCAGTAGTGAGGCATGGGTAATTGACACTGGGGCTAGCAAGCATATGTGCATCAATGAACACATGATGTGTAATGTGGAACCTCTGAGATCACCAATAACAGTCTATATGCCTGATGGATCAAGCAAACAAGTCACAAAGGTAGGGAAGGTTATACTCTCAAGTGATCTAGTGCTGCATGAAGTCTTGTTGGTACCAACTTTCAAGTACAACTTGTTATCTGTCACACAAGTGTGTCTCAGCTCCAACCTCAGATGTGAATTTACCTCAGAAGGATGTTCATTGAAACAAACAATTACTGGAAAATTGGTTGCACATGGTGTTTTAAAGGATAAACTATATGTTTTGAACTGTGAAAGAGAGGCAGCAGCCATGAACCTGAATAGTGACTCATCACTCCTGCACTGGCATGTTATTCTTGGGCATGCATCATTTGGAGCTCTAAGACAAATTCCACATCTTAAGAAATACTGCAACACAATAGGGGAACAGCAATTGAGAGATTGTGAAGTATGTTTTAAGGCTAAGCAACACAGGTTGCCTTTTCCATCTAGCAGCATTCAGACCTCACACTGTTTTGAATTATTACATGTTGATATATGGGGGCCATGCAGAGATGTGTCTGTTACTAAAACTCCTTATTTCTTGACCATAGNTTGATGACTATAGCAGGGGAGTTTGGGTGTTTCTCATGAATGCTAAAAGTGAAACAACAACAATGCTCAAAGGGTTCATCAACATGGTGAAGACACAATTTGACAGGAATGTCAAGACAGTGAGGAGTGATAATGGGCAAGAATTCTTAGGACAATCTTGTCAAAGGATGTTTCAGGAGCATGGGATTGTACATCAGAAGAGTTGTGTGTATACACCACAACAAAATGGTGTAGTAGAAAGGAAACACAAACAGTTACTTGAGATAGCAAGAGGATTGATTTTTCAGTCAGGCATTGATCTCACCTATTGGCCCTATGCAGTTATCACAGCAGCACACATCATCAACAGATTACCTAGTGTAGCAACTAACTGGGATACACCTTTTGAGAGGGTTTATGAGAAGTCACCAGCTTATGATGAACTCAGGCCATTTGGTTGTCTGGTTTATGCAGTAAACACAAGTCCTACTAAAGGCAAGCTGGATACAAGATCTCATAGATGTGCTTTGCTTGGATATGCAAGAGGGTGCAAGGGGTATGTTTTACTCGACATTGAAGACCATAAGAGATTTATCTCCAGAGATGTTATCTTCAAGCCACATGTTTTTCCTTTTAAGAGAGAGGTTGTTCAGAAACAAACAGAAGTACCCTTACCCTTGGTATATGACTTGCCTGCTAATTCTCAGACTGAGATTCCATCTGAGTGCTTAGACACAGTGGAGAACCTATCAGATAACTCTTCATCACCAGACACTTTAATACAACATGAGGGCAAAAGAGTCAGAAAGCCACCTGGATGGTTGAAGGATTATGTGTGTCATGCAGATACACCAGATGTAGTGTTCCTAGCCAATATCCAAGAAGGTAAAGAGCCTACTCACTATGAACAAGCTAAAGGTGATCAGTTGTGGGTGGAAGCAATGGATATGGAGCTGCAAGCTCTTGAAAAGAACAACACATGGGAACTTACATATCTGCCTAAGGGGAAGAAGGCTATAGGGTCCAAATGGGTGTATAAAATCAAAAGGAAAGCTGATGGATCAGTAGAAAGGTACAAAGCCAGGTTGGTGGCTAAAGGATTCAATCAAGTGGAAGGTGTGGACTATTTTGAGGTTTTTTCTCCAGTTGCTAAATTGGTGACAGTGAGAGTATTCATATCTGTGGCTGCCACAAACAAATGGCCTATATGGCAATTAGATGTGAATAATGCCTTTTTGCATGGACATCTTTCTGAGGAAGTATATATGAAGTTGCCACAGGGTTATGGAAAAGGGAAAGAAGGGCAGGTATGTCGATTGATTAAGAGTCTATATGGATTAAAGCAGGCCTCGAGAGAATGGAATTGTGAGTTGTCCAAAAGACTGCTGGAGTTTGGTTTGCAGCAATCCAGTCAAGATCATTGTCTCTTTACCAAGATTACTGGAGATAATTTCATAGCCATGTTAGTATATGTTGATGATGTTCTGATTATGGGGTCAGACCACACTCACATATGTGCACTAAAGGAGTATTTACATCATCTTTTCACCATTAAAGACCTTGGTGTGGCCAAATACTTCTTAGGCATTGAGATCTCTATGGTTAATGGGGGAATCCATCTCTGTCAGAAGAAGTATATCACTGATATTCTACAAGACATGGGATTGGAGAATTGTAAGGTGGCTAACGCACCTTTGCCACAGGGACTGAGGTTAACCGGTTTTGATGGCCAACCACTTGATGAGCCACATAAATACAGAAGATTGATTGGTCGTCTCCTCTACTTAAACTTGACTAGACCTGATATTAGTTATGCTATACAACAACTTAGTCAGTTTGTGAATAATCCTTTCACAGACCATTGGGAAGCTGCTATTTCAGTTCTTCGGTAGCTTAAGGGGACTACACACCTTGGTCTCTTTCTCAATGGTTCTTCCAGTCACAATCTCACAGCTTTTTGTGATGCGGATTGGGCCACGTGCAAGGATACAAGACGCTCAATCACGGGCTATTGTGTTTTCTTGGGAGATAGTCTCATTTCTTGGAAGAGTAAGAAGCAGGTCACCGTTGCTCGCTCTTCAGCTGAAGCAGAGTATC